ACTCTCAGTTCAGTTATGTTTGTAAACCATGCATATTAATGAGATGCACTAGTTGGGTGTACACTGGATAAACAAAAACTTGGCCATTTGTTTGCACACTAGAAAAAAATCAGTTTACTTGTACAAGATATTTTTTTTCAATAAAATAAATACACCCATGTATGTAGCATGCCTTAGGGAGCTATTCGTGTGATTTTCAAAAAAAAATGTGAAAAGTGCCCAAAAAACTATTCTGCTACCTTAATACATTTACGGATCTGAACGTAATGACGTCATAGACCCGAAGTGCAAGTTAAACAACTGGGATGCCATTCGCGGTCGCCTTTTTCTATAAAAAGTAACATGTGTACGAAAGATTTTGTCAAAATGGTACAATTTTAAAAATAGTGTGTTGTTTGGACCGTTCATGCACGCACTGTCTGTGGTATGGTAGCATCTTTCAGAACTCTAATGAGGCTACATTCATTTCATATATGTACCGGGTGCGCTGTGTGGAAGTGCGGTCGACAATGAGATGTTCATTTTAACCGATTTCAATTTTCTGTCATAATTGATTCGTCAGCCGGTCAGAAATTACAAATGTAATACAAAAAAAAAAGATAATGAGTTGTGTTTAACCATGGCAGGTTTCCCATATCTGTTATTGAGTTTTGAACAACACTATCCTAGCTTTTCACTGCTTGTCATATTAAAATCATTTGTTGGACTGTTTATATTGGTCTACAGAGAATGGTAATCCAATAATGCGCTTTCAATGAAATACTTAAATACATAAATACATTTTAATAGATGTAATAGGCCAAATTACTACGACAATAACTGACACTGCTTTCGAATATTTTGGATCTTGATTCAGGAGAATAAATCATAGTGCCCACCCAACACGTATCAAATGAACGCTCCCTCTACCATAGCGTTTTTATTGGACCAGATGAAATGTATTATGAATGTGACCTCAATTGCCATTGTATATTAGTACAGCGCCGCGATGGTGTCGTATAAGGTGACGGTCGTGACCAAAACCAGCGTTCATAGCGCCTACGAATCGTCAATTTATATGCAGTTAATTGGGGAAAGGGATTTGAGTGACGTCACAATTCTTAAGGTAATGTCATAATCTTCGATGATTTATTCTCACTGATATCTGGGATATACAATCTATGTGCTACCTGTATTACGCAGCCACGTCACTATATCACTTTGCTTATTATACGGTGAGATTTGGATGAAGCTATCTGTTATGACGTACAGATAAAAATATGTGTAGTCATTAAATTTTTCCTAATACTGAGATTAATATCGGTATTCAAGGTGATGACTGAAAGTTCAAACAGAGGTTATGAATTGTGTCGATTTTATTTGTATACGTTGCCACAACAACGGGGCTATTTATATAGTAGCTATATTAGTGTGAAATTAGGTCGCCCGTTTACGTGGCATGGCAACGATTGCCATGTATTTATTTACATGCCGTAGTTTTTATATTGCGGTGAGAGTGCGATTATCTATTAATGAGAAGAGTTCGGAAAATGAAACTGCGTGGATGCTCACTGCATTATTTTTACATTGTGTTAGTTAAAACGAATGCATACCAACCGATCTGTATAACATTGTGCACAATACATGGGACACGCCATCTGTTCTTGAATAAGATAATTCATTTGAACTACGATGAGTTCATCTACAGTTTAAGTGCATTGATGTGTTCTGTTCAGACAGTCGACCATCAACTCTCCCATGGAATGGTCATCTCTATAAGTAAACGCCGTATGTACACTAAGGGTTGGGCATTAGACAATCAAGACGAGACGATGGCAGAAAAAAATGCAAATTATTTCTTCCTTAACTTAGTTTTGTGCGTTTTTTTTTTATGATTAATTTGCTGTAAGTATTTTCCTATGATTTAGGCATGCAAAGATGTTTCCATGATTTTTCCGGTGATAGTATTAAATATCGTGGTGTCTTTATTTTGACAGCCTGACGATGGTGTCCCAGTCGACCCCGATAACTACATACTGTTTCAGACTGGACGAACAGATGTGTTCGACATCGAAACCAAGTCTATAGACGACATCAAAGAAGTCAAAATTGGTTAGTTTTCGATGTGTACATTGAAGAGTATAGGGACACATGTTGTTATGATCAACATTGATTTGGGATCAACGTATATAATCATCGAATCATATAATTTAAGTTTATTGTCCGATTGAAGTCAGAGTAAAAATATTTGTCACATATAAGATATAATCTTGGAATTAATAAATAATGGATCATAACATTGACAATAAATTATTGCATTCATCTTTTATACTGCCTGTAATATAACCACAAAAATCGAAAATAATATTTTGTAACGTCCAAAAATACGCGTGTATGTCACGGTGTGTACAACATACCTCTTCTATTTGTTTAGGATTCAACGAGAATGGATTTGTAGAAGGTTGGTCGCCACATTATATCGAAATAGAAAATACTTCCACGTCTAAGAAATCATATTTCCCCCATGACGGAGATTTCAACAAATGGAAAAACGGGACATTGACATTAGCCGCGACAGACGCCGTCCCACCAGCAGCTCAGGTAGGCATATTACCAATGGTCACTTTTATGATTACGTTGATGTGTATTTATTGAGTGTATTATTTAATCACCTACCCAGAAAACAATATATGGAGTATGTCCCTCAAAATGTGTTTTTTTTCCAAATAAAGAACAAACTAAGATTTTGTTTATTAAAGAATGTATTCATTGTACATGTGTGGGTTTTTTTAAATATCGTTCGCTCAGGGTACACTGAACTTTATCATGGGACCAATTATTGGTTGTCGTGCATTGTCCGTGGAAGATCAGTATCAAATATGTGTGTTGCTCGTGACGTCAAAAGACCAGAATGCATTGCCGCCCGTGACGTTCGATTACGCCACCAATGATGCAAGTAAGTACATGTGATAAGGTAAAGTTTCTCATCTCAACTTTGTTTAAAAAATACATTCACGTATTTCATATATTAAGTGAAAAAAGAAAACGTCAACAATTATGAGGAATACTTTGGATATAGGACGTGCCACGCGTTTAAACACACGTTATTTCCTGTTGTGGCTGTTCTCAGAAGAAAATTTAAACATCAAAATGATAAATTTTGAAAGTGCAAGTAGGAACAGGTTCGCGACAATCAGAAAATTATTGTCCATAAAGATGCACAAAAAAAAGCAGAAAAACAAAATAAAAAAACGATACTCTAAGTGATAATCGCTGATAGCACATCTCAAATGACGCACAATTTAAATCTAAAATCATCTCTTTGTACTGTAATAGTATTGTTGTCGCGGCAGTTCCTGAGACCACAGAATTTCAAAAACCCATTCGAATTTGAAAAGTAAACTCCTGAATTTGAGATGACAAAACAATTATTAACAGTGAGCTGTCTTTCACATGAAGATGCGTCATGCACCAAGGTGAATAATTGTCAAAAATTGTCAGGAAAACAAATTCTCATATATACGCCTAGTTGTTGTTAATAAATGTTTCTGATGACCTCCTGATATCTTATGAATTATCATGATAATGATTACAACATTCAAGTAATCGAAACGTGTCTGATATTAGGTGCAATAATCATAAAATTAGCAATTTATTAATTCTTTGAAATTCACAAGCAATTAAACTGACCACTATTGTCAAAATTATCATCAAAATCCAACGTGTACGAAAAGGGTAGACATGGCAACAGCTAAAATGCGAACATACAAACATTAGATGCTCGTTTACAAGAAAGTGTGAAGTTGGATATTTAAAATGTCAATGCAATTACTTTTGGTTTTCTAATTCAGGTAATTCAGTCAATGGACAAAGTGATGACGTCATCACCATTGCCGAGTCAAAAAACAAGAAACTTTGGCGATATGATTGGAGCGTACCGTGGCATACTACAAAGGTAACCAATGTTTTCAACTACGAATGGGATGGTCATCATGGCCGGCATTAGACCACACTGACCCACGTCTACGACTGTGAATACTATTCGGTCACGTGTTAGTGGGTTGAATGAATAATAGCAACGATTTCGAAAGTTAATACCATATATTGTATATTTGTTACCAGGACGGGAAATGTACATACACCATACCGGATGGACGTAGTTTCACATTTTACATTCCATCCCAGAAGTCAAATCCAAGATTCACTTTTGGTTCATGTGCCGCGTTGTCATCTGCGCACAGAATTCAAGACAATCCCAATAGGAATGTCATGTGGCAACACATGCGCAAAGAACACGAGACAGAGCCTTTTCATTTGATGGTGATGGGTGGTGACCAGATCTATGCCGATGGCGTACTTGCTGAGGTAAACGATTGGGTGTAAACATTGTAATGTTGTGATGGTTACGTTTTAGAACTATAAATAGGTAAAGTAAACGGTCAAGGGTCGTAAACAAAGGAAAGTACAGGATATGATTATTGCTGTGATTATTTGTAAAACGTATACAATATATTCCACAGATGACATACCATACTTATATAACCTCTTAAAGTTTCAATGATATCAGTTGTTCGCAACATGATATTTGTATTACTGTAGCATACAATAATATCAAACTAATTATTTAATTACTTACGCAAACATGCACATTGTTACACTAACACAAATTAATATTCATTGTATAATATATTCCAACATATAAGTTGTGAGCAAGTGTATTTGTCGAGCCCTACTGACTCTTTTTTTAAAGTGGTTGCAGGTTTTGCATGTTCTTTTTTTTGCAAATTGTAGTACTTTTTATACATAGTTGTAGTTGTGTTGATTTTAATTATATTAATTTGCCGTTTACATCATGCATTTTCCTACAACAAATAATTATTTGAAGTGTCCAAGTCTGGTAAAATGGTCAAATATGTCGAGAGAAGAAAGAGCTAGTGCCCCACTTACCGAGGAAATGAAGAATGAAATTGATGAGTATTTTTTCAACCTATATTGTACAAGATGGCGAGAACCTGAACCAGCCTGGATGTATGCCCGTGTACCTTCTATTATGATGTGTAGGTATAAATATCTCATTGTAAATAACAAAGTAATGGCGGTCATGGTGTTTCTTTATTAGTGCTCCAGTGAAGACGATATTTGGCTAAACAGTTATCCAAATACACTTTCGATTTGTTCAGAATTGACATAAAACGTCGAATTCGCTAATATGACAGGAAATTATCAGTGTATAAACCAGCCTAGATGTATGCCCATTTACCTTCTATTATCATGTGTGAGTGTACTTCCCAAATCTGTCTAATAGATGTATGTACGCGTGATTCACATAAGATAAGCAGTTAGCACATGTCTCGTCAAAATAAGCTTGCCCAAAGATAGTTCTGATTCGTCTTTCAGGGGACGACCATGAAATCATCGACGGTTATGGTAGTCGTACAATGTGTCCTGTATTTGATGGAATTTACGACGCTGGTAGAAAATATATGTTACTGTTTCAACTACGGTGTCTAAGAGATGCCAAATCGATGGAAGGGTAACGTTTTACGAATAAGTTTTTTTATTTGTGTCATTGGGACAACACTTTTTCATGGATCTTTTGTTGTTGTTTTTTCTGTAAAAAAAGAAGAAACTATTATACAAATCCTCATATTATAGTGGGTTCTTTCCAATCCAATGACCTCTCTTGAACCTGTTTTTTGTACATCAAACATCAACAAAATTGAACCCGAAGGTAACCGAGGTGCATTTTGCAACAGATTATATCCCGTTACAAAAGTATGAATACTGTCGCACCAAACAAAATAGTTCCTAAAACGTCACTGTATTCGTTTGGTTCATATACATTAGATACAAACTGGTGTCAACAACAATATCTTTACAGTGATATGGTCCTTCATTCAAGACACTGTTTCGCCTGGTTAAACCCATGGCCTGGTCACAACAAACGGGATTTGCCAATATCATTCTACGTCCGTTACAGAGATGTGGCATTCCTAGTAAGTATCCAATGTAGTATAACTCAAAGTGGTATGGCACCACGATTATCTTTTTTAGTAAACATGATGGCACGTACTAAACTTCAAACGACGAAATAAAAACACGATGTCACGTGACAATGCTAATTCACGTAACGGGATCACATGACATGAACTTATTATTTTTGATAATCTATCACAAAATGAAGAAAACAAATATCAATGATACGGACAATTAGTGACATCATATAATTTATCGTAACAATCTATCTTCTTTTAGATGCTAGATACACGGTCTGAGCGTACACCCACGCGTGTAATGAGCGACGATTCGTGGACACGAGTCACCAATGTTTTGGAGTCAATGGAAGGTGTTCAACATGTGTATATCGTTTCTAGTTTGCCGCCAGTATTTCCAACCATGGACATTGCTTACACAGCGTTACGAATAATTCCAGGAGTACACGTAAGGACGAGTCTTGTCGAAACATATTGTGTGATCATGGACCTACTGGCACGATCTCCAAAAGTGCGTTTCACCCCCCGAATATAATATGACATATTTTCAACTTCTGGAAACTTTTTTTTTTAATTTTTAAGGAATCGGAAGACGACTTTTTGGATCATTGGAATAGTACTGATAACCGTAAAAAAGAACGAGACAGGTTTTTCAGTATAATGGTTAAATTCTCCGAGAAAATGAAAACCAAGGTGTCAGTGTTGTCTGGTGATGTTCATCTTGCGTGCTGGGGTAAACTACACACAGAGTCAGGGACGGTAATCAACATACCAACGTCGTCAGCTATTGTCAATAAACCACCGCCTAAGGTATATTTTCTTCCAACTTGCGTTATTAGTAATTAACAATTTTGCGTAATTCTTTCTGAGTATTATATATTGTTGAATGAAAACAACCCCCGGATTGCTTGATTATTCTTCAAATTTTAATAAGCACATTTAAATAATTTAGTGATTTCATGTTCTAGTCATAATGATGTCACGATTCATGTAAGTATGTATAGCTGTGTTTTTTAACCTTGACCTCACTCATTATAATATGTTCTTAATCTTTCTATGCAATATTTAAAGATTCCTAGTTCTTGGTGATATACATTAATATTATATTCATTTGCGCATACAAACAAATCAGGAGAGACACTAGTGACATTCAATATCCACAACTGTCACCTGGCACAAAAACGTTATTAAAAAAATATATATGTTAATAGGTAACATTTAAAATTCAGGATTTTCATTTACAAAAAACAATCAGCATTGTTCCTACTGTGATAATATTCCATAATATCAAGTTCTAGATAGATTGTTACTCATGGTTTAAATACACAATTTAAAAGGCGGTGGTCGTTGCACTGCGTTCTGTTCCACGTGGGACTACCCATAGCGACGTATACAACGCTTGTACAATGCACTGTATAGTGTATACGAAATTCGAACACGCGTTGAGATAATCGTGTATTGTATGTCAAGTCATATTGAATACAGATCCTGGACAAGTATGGAAATCGAGTACGAATTAAAAAAAACACAGCGAGGCTATGCTAAAACGGTAAAACTGCTAACTGCTGATTTTTTATTTCAGCTTATGATGCCATATCTATACTTATCGTATAATAATAAGAGTGTTGATATACCTGGTATTGGAAAAGCGGTTATGAGCATGCAACCAGTCGGCAGAGAGAATGCCAAGTGTACATTCCTTGTCACGCAAAACTTTATGACGTTTTCCCCGGCGACAACTAACAAGGTAAATGAAGTAACATCTACTCAACTATTTTTTGATTAATGAGTATTACGTCATTGTCGACCGAGTCAAGATACACAATGTCTGTCCAAATTAGTGAAAACAATGTTAAAAATGCGTTGATATATCTGTACTAATCGTATATACAATATTGACGTAAAAATATAACACATTCAACCGTCATTTGTTGTTTACGTTGTTTCTTGTCAATTTTATTTCAGGGACAATTAGTTTACAACACAAAAGTAATTGGAAAACCGGACGTGTTATTTACGTCACGTGGTCTTGCCCAGCCACATATATTTACCAATTATATTGGACCGTATGCAGTTGAAAAACTTAACACCAACTCTAATTGCTGTAATGTACTTTAGGAGATGTATAGGTGTATGGAACAGTACGGGACAGATGATATAAGGTGTTATAAGAACGTAGTTTGTGATTAACTATGCATATAGTACAATGTACTTACATTTATCACCAACATTTTACTACAGCTGTTAATTTGAAATTATTTTGAGATAGGAATATATCATTTAAGTTCGGATTTATAAATGACCATATTACAGACGGTTTGTTTGTTTATGTTGTATTGATTGTCTCGCATTTTCTTGTACATAGGGTATTGTATTTTTATATATACTAGTACATCATTAAAGCATTGTTTAAACAAATTCGTTGAGTGTCAATCGTAGATACAAGTGAAATATTGTTTCGTATAAAATAGCCTCGATTTTCTGTGTTTGCGATAAGGCCATACTGATTTAATTTTATGGATGACATCCTCTGGAGACCCCAAAACTAATGCGAGGGGGCGGACAAAAAATCCTGCCAAAAAAAAAGCTGCTAAAACCACAGGACTACAGAGCTGGTATTACGAATTGAACCACAGAACACAGTGTATACAGTGTATCAAAAAACAACAAGAAGTCTTTTTTTGTAGGTGGCACATGTTGATGTACACATCTCGTATAGCTGCGGTATAAACGTCACATCTCCCTGGCCGACGTCAATTGCATACCAGTCTACAACAATCCCTACGTTTTTCCTCTGAACTTTTATGCTCACGTATTTTGGTGGCGTGGTTGCCATGTTGGAATTCCCGGCAACGCAATACGCATGTGCAAAAGATCATTAACGACAAAATTGGCACGTTTTGAGGTAGTTCAAAACGAGTTTTACGACAAGCCGGCGCTTTGTGACAATACGAGTCGGAAAGTTCCGGACAGATTACGAATTGAACCACAGAACACAGTGTATACAGTGTATCAAAAAAACAACAAGAAGTCTTTATTTGTAGGTGGCACATGTTTATGTACACATCTCGTATAGCTGCGGTGTAAACGTCACATCTCCCTGGCCGACGTCAATTGCATACCAGTCTACAACAATTCCTACGTTTTTCCTCTGAACTTTTATGCTCACGTATTTTGGTGGCGTGGTTGCCATGTTGGAATTCCCGGCAACGCAATACGCATGTGCAAAAGATCATTTACGACAAAATTGGCACGTTTTGAGGTAGTCCAAAACGAGTTTTACGACAAGCCGGCGCTTTGTGACAATATGAGTCGGAAAGTTCCGGACAGAAAACCGATCTGTGGAGACTCGTCGTCGGAGATTTGTTTTTTGAGAACAGGCGAAAACTAATGCCAGCGCGGATGTCTTCCATAAACTTAAGTCGCTGTGGCCTAACTGAAAAGCTCTCAGTTTCTCAACTTGTCTCTTTATTTAGTTTCAAACCGTATTCAAGATGGCTACCCCATATATTAACTATCGGTTAATTAACCACATTTATTATAATATCACTTGTAGCCCAATTGGTTGTGACGTCAGCTTACAATGGCAAGCAGCGTGTATAATGATCCCATGTTTCATGGTCGTTCGTTTTGAATAATTCATGTAATTATTTTCGATGACTGCTTTCTATGTTGTAATACAGTCGGGATGATTAGTTTAACTATAAATAAGCAAGAACGCGAGTATCGTGAAATTGGTGACCCAGTTGCAAAATGGTGATTTTGGAATCATGTGTATTGATTTATTGAAAAGGTGGTAGTCACTAATTATAGTAAAACAATATAATCCCCAACTGAAGCCGCTCTACTGACACAAATCACAGTAATACTGCTAACCCTCGGACAGTTTCGTTCAGCATTTACTAAAAATATATTGTTCAGTTGTTCTAAACAGTACCAGTTCACTGGTTTATTTGTTCTCAACAGTGTACATCTACCGCGACAGCAGTGTGTTTTAAAATCATCTGGTTCTCAATAATTATTTGCCCCTCATTATTTTAAAATGGTACATTTAAGTTGTTTCAGTAGCCTGGATTTGAACAAGATTATTGTCGCTTCCAGATTATGACCGAGAAGGTGTGAGGGCCAGTGAAAAATGTTACAGAATAAGTTATTCAGCGCGTACGCTGTGTCAACACACAATCCACAAAAAACAACTAATTCGCGGTATCATCAGAAAAAATATGGCAACTCACTCGAATGTTTACTAGAACCGCGACCCCAAGCAGGCTACTAACCACGTTATCGCCTTCGTAGCCACCATTAACTATGAAATCGGTCCGAATGTTTGACGTCACAACTCGTGTTATTACCTGGCAATGATCAGTGACTTGCAACGGTGAAATACAGCGACATCAAGTTATATTAACTCTAAGGTTCATATAAGTCATCGTATGGGCTACCTAGGGTTGTTTACTATCATCTGATTGGTCAATTATTTGAGCTTTTTTGCATATCGTTGCCACGCGATGACGTCCAGCAATCAGAGCGATGGTGTCGTATAAGGTGACAGTCGTGACCAAAACCAGCGTTCACAGTGCATTTGGATCACCCATTTACATACAGTTAATTGGTAACGAGGATTCAAGTGACGTCACCATTCTTAAAGTAAGACTATATATTATATAGTATGATATAATCAGTCTCTCTATCACTCAGGGGAACTGTAATATAATATACAGTAAAACACAGACGGGCATATATAGTATGTAGGTCAATTTATATACAAGTAAAGCTATAGAATCTTTTGTTATGCGAAGGTCATGAACTATCGAACAGTGCTATGTGTATACGTTACTTGGGCGTGACCCAGCAACAACACTCTCCATTCTTATATTATGCAAAACAAGAAAGGTTGAACGTTAAGTCTTTCAAGACAATGAATTACTAGTATTTACGAGCTTTCTTAAAGTGGCACATTAACTATATATTTCACATATTCTCAACTGAAATTGTGTTGAAAACGACTCTGCAAAGTATGTATTTGTAGAATAGTCAGCTTAAATTCAAGATATATTTTTAAAAAGAACGGCGCTAATACAACCGTTTTCCATGTGACAGTGACTTTGCGAGACACACAAATGACAAATTGTTGCGTCTACTAAGTACAAAACGGTCAGCGAGAAGAGAATGTTCGTGTATTTGTAAACATGCATTGTTTTCTATCCAGCAAACAATATTAGATAGTTGTTGCTTTCAACTAGCCTTAGTTAAGTGAATTCATTTAGACGTTTTTAGTGCATATGCTACCTCAATATACCTCACCAACTATTAACTCTCACAGTGCATGTATACAATATATGAACCGTGACACGAAGAAAGACACATACGTAATTTATCTACTAGTATTTTCTCGTAAACATTGCATACGAGATATAAACAAACAATGAGAATTGTAAATGTACATAAATATAATACAATAGCATATAAATCAACACAAATCCAACAAGTCTAGAAACTATTGAAACATTGTATTATAGTCTTCACAAATACGGGGGGCGAATCAATAAAAATGTCAACATTACCAAGAACTCGTTAACCGTGCCTGGTTTTGTTCACCCTACATTCGAGGCACATGCACACATCTTCCGATTTTACCTGTTGACTTAAATAACATATAAAAACACATTTTCTCAAAAATACCATATCAAGTATCAGTCCGCGTTCACACAAGACATTTTTTATAGATCGGTCGCTATAATCACAATGGTACCAATCTTGTTATGAAAACATGTTTTACAATGCGATTTGGATACGAGACACAGTTAGATTTAAAAATAAATATATACCGCATTACACAATGTGACGTACTAATGTTGCAAATGTATGCAATAAGAACAGGTACATTAATTAATTTGGTGAATATTTAGCTCTCAACTAGCCTGATCCACAGTACGAGAGGTAAATGCCAACTTAGAATAGATACTCACTCCACGATCATTATGATGAGTGACGTCGCGGTTCAAGACTGTGTCGTCAATATGGTAATCGTACACCGTTGACAATGCACTTAGCTTGTATCATGTTCACATCGAACTTTAACGCATTTGCATCCCGAAGACTGAACCCCAGTGGTATATACGTTAATCCGTCAATTGTCAAGTCAAGTTATTCATATTTCAAGATTATAGTGTAATTAATTAATGTTCTGAAAAAGCATACACGGGAAACACAGTAAATATTGTTGTAAGGACCTGTTGCGCTTTCCGATTGTATTTTATATGTATCAAGCGTGATTGTCTTGTTACCAATATTGTGACGAAATAGTATTGGGACGAATCGACTGTGAATCGTTGCAAACATACAAGTATTTGATCACCAATTGACTCCTTAGGGCATTGACAAATGGCATGATTGATAAAACTTAGAACTCTAATCGTTACAAAATACATTTCTAAAATTTATAATTATCAATATTAATTTAATTATTTTACTTTATATAATTTATTTAAACAAATACACATAATATAAAATGAAAATGATAGCATGAATATGAACACTGACACACGCCAATGTCATTTCGACGTGATACTGTCAGGGTCAAGTCACTGCCAGGGTCAAGTCACTGTCAGGGTCAAGTCACTGTCAGGGTCGAGTCACTGCCAAATACATAGCACAATAATATAATATACAGGTATTTCAAATATATGTATTATCTTTTGACAGCCTGGTGACGATGTCCCAGTCGACCCTGATAACTACGCACTGTTTCAAGCTGGACAAACCGATGTGTTCGACATAGATACCAAATCTATAGATGAAATCAATCAAATTAAAATAGGTAATTAGGATTATAAACTGAGTTTTATAACTTATAAATATTGCAGTGGTGGAAATGGTGAAAGCAATTGTTCCATCTTCTGTTCGCAGGGTTCTGTGAGACTGGATTCGTAGACGGATGGTCACCTCACTACATTGCAATTGAAAACTCTTCAACAAACAAGAACTCGTATTATGTTCACGACGGGGATTTCAGGAAATGGAAGGGTGGAATTCTCACCCTGTCTGTATCGAACAATGCCCCACCGGACCCACAGGTAGGAAAGTTGTGTCGATAAATTTGCCGGATTAAGTGCTAGTTTAGCAAAGCATGTATGGTCTATGCTAAATGACACAGATTGAGACAGTATGACATTGAACATACTCCCATATCCATGTTTCACAAAATACAACTAACGGTGACACTGTCGAGAGTATTCCCTTGTATAACATGTCTTTGTTTATCTACTAAATGATTTATTTAATTGTTTGTCTTATGTATATGTAGGGCGCCATTAATATTATAATGGGTCCCATCCTTGGCTGCCGTGCATTGTCTATAGAAAATGAATACGAAGTGTGCGTCTTAATTGTGACGTCAAAGAACGAGGCCACGTTGCCGCCTGTGACGTTCACTTACGTCACAGCTGACCAAAGTATGTACATGTACGATTTCATATGGGATTGCTAAAACTTTTCATCAAAAGAAAGACTATTTGCCACAATACATAATGTATCAAGACAACATTTAAGTATTTTTTTACATTTTGGGTTAAAAATAAAATGCCGGCATTTTTAATCTACACATTTTGCAGGCAAATCATCGAACGGAAGGAGCTGTGACGCCATTGTCATAGCTGAATCGAAAGACAAAACACAGGCGCTACGATTGGAGCGTTCCATGGGACAACACTCAGGTAACAACGACTAGAAACATGAAATTTCCTACCATGGATCACGCACGTATAAATATGCAAGGTAATTCGAACTTTCTTCTTAAAGTAAATGTGTTTTTTTATAGGAAGGTACCTGTACATATACGCTACCTGATGGGCGTAGTTTCGATTGCTGTATACAATCTCAACGATCGGCCCCTCGATTTACATTCGGGTCTTGTGCCGGTTTGACCGCTGATGATGAAATAAAGGACCATCCTAACAGAAATATTATGTGGCTACACATGCGCAACGAACATGAATCACAACCTGTTCATTTAATGGTAATGGCTGGAGATCAAGTCTATGCGGATAGTGTGATAACACAGGTAAGTAGGCTTCAAAGGGTCCTGCAGAGTGGGTGCTGATATTCGGAATTCATGTATCGATGTATGTGGAGTGTTGCAAAAATATATATAAACTAACAAAATTGTGTATTGTTTTCAGTGCCCAAGTCTGGTAAAATGGTCAAATTTGTCGAGAGAAGAGAGGGAGACTGCCCCACTTACTGATGAAATGAAAGATGAAATTGATGAGTATTTTTTCAACCTATATTGTACAAGATGGCGAGAACCTGAACCAGCCTGGATGTATGCTCGGGTGCCTTCTATTATGATGTGTAAGTATAGATATCTCATTATAAATAACATAGTAATGGCGGCAACCATGGTGTTTCTTTATTGGCGCTTCATTTATATTTGGCTAAACAGTTATCCAAATACTCCTTCGATTTGTTCAGAATTGAATTAAACAAAGAACTCGCTAGGAGGTCAAAGGTTATGCAGATCAGTAGGCAAGGCTAGTGCGTCAGCTCCCCACGACACACGTAAAAACTGCGATAAACTGCTCGAAGCATACAAGGGACATACAGAACTATAAGTAGTTAGAGAACCGGATGACGTCATGGGACCTAAAAGTGACAAAAAGAAGTCGGCAAATAAAGGCAATAAAGAAGACGGGACAATACATGGTACCAACTCGTCACTGGGTGGTTTCTCGGGTAGCCCTCCGCGTAAAGAAAAAAGTGCGTCACTGGAAGGAGAGGAAGTTTCCCTGGAATTGGTTTATTCTCTATTGAAAGAGCTAATGAAGAAAACAGATAAACACTACGAAAAGGTTCAAAAGATTCAGATGAAACTAAATGAAGTAGAAGAGCGTCGCTGAACAGACGATTACAGATATGGCGGAGACCATAGATAAACAACCATAGATTACCGACAAACAGAAATTGAAATCGAAAGGGTCAGCGCTGAACTAGAAGCGGCCAAGATAGAGATAAAGGAATTAAAAGGTGAAACTATAAGACAGCAGAGGTATTCTCATAGTTACAATCTGAGATATGGTGGTATTCAGGAGGCAGAAGGAGAAAATAATACAACATCTGATAGGCGACAAATTTGACGTTGAGCATGGAGTAGTAGAAAATGCACACAGAATAGGACTACGCGCCGAAAACCGTCCACCAAGACATATCATTGTAAAAATTATACGCAGACCCGTAAGAAGACAGATATTGATTAACAAGAGAAAATTAAGAGGCAGTGGCATATATGTTAAATAAGATCTATGTGAAGCAGATTTCAAGAAAAAGAAAACGATGCGCCCGGTGATGAAGGAAGCCTATGAAAAAGGTGAGAAAATTAGATTCAGTAATGGCACAGTCTACATTAACGGACAGAGATACAAAGAGAATTAAAAGAGAACAGTGAGAGAACTTTTAAAACAGTGAGCAGATGTTTAAATAGAAAACATTCACTGAATGTGTGAGAAGGGGAGTAATGACAATATTGTTTGCACATAGTTGTGGGCAAACATGGGCTTAGACAAGAGTTGTTTTTTGTTATTGTTCGTTCTTTGTGTATTTAAAACTTTTGAATGGGGAAAGTTCTTAATGAAAGTGGGATTAAGATACAAACATATTTATTGTATATGCTTAAATGTTCGTGGCCTTGGTTATTACAAAAAAGGGTAAAAGGTGTTTAAATGGATTTCTGAAAGTAAATCGAAAGTTATAATGCTACAAGAGACACATAGTTTAGAATCAATAGCAAAATACTGGGAATCCCAACTCAAGGGACAAGTGATCTTTGCACATTGAACTAGTAATAGTAAAGGCGTGTTAACCATGTTTAGAAATATTGATTATCACATTAACAAAATTTGTAGGGATCCCTTGGGACGTTTTATGATTATAGATGTAAACATAGAACAGAAAAACTTTATCTTAGTGAATGCATACGGCCCTAACGAGGAAGGTAGTCATGTAACCTTTATAAAACAAATTGTAACACATCCAAAGGAATATGTAACGGATTCAGATACTAAAATTATTATATAGGGAGGAGATCACAACCTGGTGCTTGATATTGGGATGGATAGGAAAGGCGGCAACCCCAGGGGCTGGACGGAATCTAGTAAGATAGTGAAGGATACAATGGAAACATTCGATTTAATAGATATATGGAGATTGAGAAATCAAAATAAAAAGTTTTTACATGGAGAAGATTTAGACCTGAAATAGTTAGTGACAGCCTGCAGATAGATATACATAAGGCTGATATCATACCATGTTTTCTATCAGATCACTCAGCCATAACTTTAAAGCTAGAATGGGAGGAAATTAAAAGAGGACCATTCTATTGGAAGATAAACAATAGTCTGTTAAGAGAAGGGGAATATATAGAGTTTATAAAAGAAAAATTTAATGATAGGTTACTAGAAGGTACAGATATGAAAGATCCAAGAGCTAAGGGACGACTTCAAAAGATCGATGTCGGGGGTGGGGGGGGGGTGACCTCAAAAAGTTTCCATCCTACAAAAACAATTCAAAAGTCAAACAAATCTTGGAGTATTTGTAGTTCTATCCAATCATGGACAGAAATAACCGAAAAGGGGCAAAAACAGAAAAATTGTTTGGTTCGAGTGTAAATCTGTGCGTCAAATGAGGTGCATTTGTAAACTTATTTTACACCCACCCGACAACCAACTGCTATGCAATACTATTGTCCGATTATCAATTTGTATTTAATGGTGAATGTAGTCTGACGCCATGACCAATATTTATCAATTAAGTTTCAGTGGGGGTAGGGGGGTTTGGAAAAAAAACTAAAGGAATTAAGTTTTTTATCCGACATCGATCTTTTGACATCGTCCCTAAATGGGATTGGATAAAGTATAAAATAAAACAAACCACGTTGACTTATAGTAAGAAAAGAGCAAAAGAACATAAGGCTAAAATAGTAGAGTTAGAACATAAATTAGCTAAAATGGAAATAGAGTTAAATGCTAACACAAATGAAAATATAAAAACTTAAATAGAAACTGTAAAAGTAGAATTACAACAGGAATATGATCACAGGGTAGAAGGAATGATGATACGGGCAAGATGCAATTGGATGGAATAC